TGCAATTTTCCCAAGATCACGAGTGCAAGAACTGGGATTTGAATTCTGGAATATTGACTCCAGAATCCAATACTCATAGCCATAAAGGGGTGGGATGGGGATAATGTTAACTTTGGAAGTTTAAGGAGAGAATGAAACGAAGGGCGCCAGGTCCTAGAGGATTCTAGGTGGCTTTTCCAGAGCTGGAGGTGGAGCAAACATCAGGTGGAGGGGACTGTGCCAGCAAAAGCAAGGTGGGGTGGAATCTCGTGGGTTCCTTCAGGCGGATGGCACGTGTAGCCAGAGCTCAGCATGTGGGAAGGGGAAGGGAGAGGATTTGGCAGGAAAGGAAGATGGGGCCACACCGTGAAAACAGTCACAGCTTGCAGGGTGGCACCATCCCCCCCCACTCCCTGCATCGTGTCTGTTGGTGTCTAGGCTTAGGAGCTTCCTAAAATATTCCTATTTCCCCCACCCACCGTCAGCCCTGTTCCTGCCCCTCCTATCACTCACCTCCTGCCTGCCTGCCTCATAACAAAGTAAAAAATAAAAAGCCGCCCGCTATTTCCATGCAGTGCCTTTCCCTGCCGCATTGTCCTTGCACCTGTTCCTTCCTCTGGGCTCCAAGGCGGTTCTGGGGGGGCAGCTGCAGGGGAGGGCTTCTTCCCCTGCTTTAAAGTTGGGGAAACCGAGGCCCCAGAGTTCCTTTCTACTTGAACTTCACCTCCTTTAGGAAGCCTTCTGACTTCCTATCCACCCAGTTTCCCACTGATATTCGCTTAATAGAACCAAGTTCTGCTGCTGCAGAGGACAAGTCTCATTGTGTACTTACCCGTTTGTGTGATTTACTTAATGTCTTTACGTTTTGCTGGACTGTAACCTCCATGACGATAGGGACTCTAGCCCTCGTGGTTCAAGGGGCCTTGAAGTCATCTCTCTCTTTCCCCCACAGGCTGTTATTTTAAAGCCACCTCACAGCCCCCCAGGCCTCCTACTTTAACCATTCTCTCCACACTGAGTCTTACAAACAGACGTAAGAGTCAGGTTGTCTGGGGGCCTCCCTCTCACAGGCCGGTGCTGGGTCAGCATTAGTCACCCACCTGCACTGCCAGGCACCCACCACCTGCGTCAGGGCTGAGGCAGCAGGCTCTGAGGAGCAGGTGGCAGCTTGGTGATGTTTATTTAAGTCTGTTATGTGCCACAGGCACTGTGCTGGGTGCTTAAACCAGGGGCCCAGTGAGCCAAATACAGCCTCTTCTGTGCTGCCCCTGGGCCAAGAGCAGTTTTGACTGTTTCACAGGGCTGTACAAACAAAAGAGCCTATGCATCATAGACGGTTATGATTAAAAACAGTTTTGCAAATTGAGCAAATAACATGTCAGCGTGCCTGGTTAAATTTGAATTTCAGAAAAACAACAAATCTTTTCATGTGTTCCATGCAACATTTGGTACCTATACTTAAAAAAAAAAATTCCTTTTCTTATCTGAAATTTGGATTTCACTGGGCACCCTGCATTTTATCTGGCAGCCCCAGCTCAAAGCCTAAAATAGTTGCTGTCTGCCTCTTTACAGGAAAAGTTTGCCACCCGACCTTACACATACAGGGGTCAGAAGGCCTTAGGACACTGCCCGGAGCCGAGGTCCATAAGCACTGGCTGCTGGTACTAGTGTTATTAATCAGAGTGATCACCAAACAGATACTGAGCACTTTTCGCATCCCAGGCACTGTGCTAGGAGCGCCAGATCCACGTGGGAGAGACAGACACTAAGTGGATAAACCCACAGATGTGTGGGAAAGTCAGGCCGAGCATAAAGCCAGACACTCTATTTTAGACAGGGTGGTCTGAGCTCCCATCCTTTTTTGAGCTCTGTGCATGTTTCGTTTTGTTTTAAGCTTTTAAAGCAGGAATTTATATTTAGAATCTCTCAAGAGACTTTAAAAAGGCCCCAAAACATCCAAGATTAATAGAAGATCATCCTGAGGCAGTGTCTGTTGGTTTCTCCATTACTAAAGCATCTATTTGATCCTTTTTAATGAAACACCCTGATGATTCTTCTAGTTGGGTCCTGGTGATTTCCTCTGATTCCTGGTATAAGTGGCCATCAGCTCACAAACAGTGACAAATTTATTATCAGAAATAATCACGAAACATCTGCAGATTCCGCTCCAATATCCTTCCTGCATTCTTTGAAACCAGGTCCAGTGATTATCAGTTTGGGTAGAGGAGACTTTGGTGAGTGTCGTTTGCAAAGACTGGCATCATCTGCAGCTCTTTCAGACAGAAGCCAGAAAACACCCTTCGAGACAAAACACCCAGAGCTCTGCCCACATAGCAGCCCTGAGAGGTGGTATGTGTTTCATCCCCATTTCACAGATAAGGAAACTGAGGCCTGAAGTCACCCAGCCAACGGCAGAGCTGGAGTTTGAGCTGGGCCTGGTGGCTCTCAAGCTCTTGTTCTTACTCAGTGCACTAGCGCCTTCCTTTAGATGGTGCCAACGTGTGCTGGGTCCTATTTAGGCCCCTGGCCTGCATTTTCCACAATCCTTTTGATAGCCCTGAACACTGGGCCATGTTATTTCCTTTCGGAGCTTATTGAGCATGAACACAGCAGTGTGGACTTGCAGGGTTCCAGGTGGGCAGCATGAGGGGACCTGGGTGTGGGCAGGTGGCAGATAGGAGGAGGGGCGTAGACAAGGCAAGCCTGGGAGCCCCAGGAGCCTTCCTTCCTGCTCTGCATATTGGCCAGGATTTCCCTGCCACTGTTATAAGATTAATCCTCCTTTTATGTTGTTTAAATATTTGCAGGAAGAGGGAGGGATGGTGAGAGGGCGGGGTTGGCTTCCAAAGGTTTGCAAGGTTGGACTGGAGATGGGGAGTGCACAAGCTCAGAGGTCTGACGTGGAGGGGCGGAGCCAGGCCAGGCTCGCAGGCCAGTGAGTCCTGATTTGAACATCCCATTGTGGGCCAGGTTGTGGACTGAACAGTTACTGTCGGCTCAAGAGTCCCTACAGTTTGAGAATTCCTACCAGGTGCCTGGTGCAGGTCCTGTCTCCATGACCTCCAAGCCTCTCATTGCCCCTGTGATGCTGGACCAGTTTCCCCATCTGAAATGTCTCCATTTCAGATGGGGAAACTGGTCCAGCATCATGCAGATAGTGATGGCCAAGGGTTTGAGCTCAGGTCAGTGACTCCACATTCCGGCTCTCAGCCCCTTCCAGCTGCCTCCTGACATCTTGTCCTTCACATGGCTCTCCCTTGCTCACAGGTCTGTCTGGTCTGTCCCCTGGGATGGGGAGCAGCATCTGACCTCCTGCGTGAGGCAGTGCAGTCTTCTGTGAGACTCAGTGACCTTCGGGGAGTGCTCCCGTCCGCATTGCCTTCTCCATCTCCTCTCCTGGCCTCAGGCTGTCGGCTTGTTATTAACTGGGGCGAGGTTCTAGCCCACCACAGGAGCCAGCAGAGCGGTGGGGAGGAGTCCTCACTTGCTGGAATCCTTGGTGCTGCAGTGCCACCTGCACCCCCTGCCTGAGACCCATCTCCAGGCCAGGAGGCCTGGGCCCAGACAGCCACAGCTCCTCCCAGTAGCAGGTTTACGGGCTGTGTGACTGAGAAAGGGTTGTCCTTCCTGAAATTCAGGACCCACAGCTGTAAACAGCCTGCTCTGCAGTGTGGACTAGACACAGTGTGTGTAGTCAAGGTGCCAATAGGAAGCAGATGGTTCCCCCAAACGGAGTGAATTAAGGTGACTTTAATAAAGGGGCTATCGACTAAGGCGAGGGATGCCAGGAGACAAGGAAGGGTGCAGCACCCTGTGACTGTTTATGGGGGCAAGGAGGACCAGAAACCGGTACTTCCCCTTGCCTAACGGGTGCGAGGGAGAAGCCAGGAGAGGGGGCTGGCTGTGTGGGAAGGTCCTGGGACAGGAGCTCTGACTGTTCCGGGTCTTCCTTAAGGATTGTGGGAGATCATTTAAATCCTCCCGGCTCCTCTTCCTTCCCCACTCTCCCTCTCCTCCTCTTTCCCCTCCAGTCTTCTACTGCGATCTGAGTGCTTGAGAGTCACCGGGAAGGCTTAGTAAACACCCGAATCTGATTCAGTGGGTCTGGGTGAGCTTGAGCATTGTATTTGACCCCGTTCCCACTGATGCTGGGTTGCGGGACCCTGCATCTCTCTTGGCTTCTGCTGCCTTGGGCCTCCCTGGAGGGGCTCCCCGTCCAGTGAAAGCTGCCCTGTCAGGACCAGATCCTGGCCTGGTGCATCAGAGGTACTGAAGGATTTGTTGAGTGACTGAATTTAGCAGGAAAAGCATGTAGCCTGGGAGTCAGATGCAGGCTGGGATTCTGTCTCCTTTCGGGGTGAGTTGCTTCACTTCCCTGAGACTCTGTTTCCCCAAATAAGATCACAGATCCAGCTGGCAAGTGACGACTAGGGATTTGAAACCAGGTCTGCCAGATCCCAGGGCTGAACTCTTATACAACACCCTCCTGATTCTTTTATATACCTGTTTCGTGCATTCGTTCATTCATTCATTCTCCCTCTCATTTAGAAAATATTTATTGGGCACTTCCTGTGCACCAGGCACTGTTTTTCCTATGCAGCAGGCTCCACGGGCACAGCAGCGAACAAGGCAGATGAGGCACTGCCTTCAGGCAATGGATATTCTGGAAGAGGAAGACAGATAGTAAACAACACTTGGGGTGGGAATAGTGTGAGTCTTCTTTCTAGAATGGGATGGATGGAGGCGGGAGGGCTGCCTCAGATAATGTGGTCAGGGAAGGAGATGACGTCTTGTGTGACACTGAGAAGAAGACTGCCAAGCACGGAGATGCAGAAGGATGCAGTACAACGTGAGGGGTGGAGCTATCCCAGGGCACAGGCCCTGGACTTCAGAAGACACGGTGCACAGGGTGCAGAAGGAAAGCAGTTATCAAAATTCCCCAGCCAGCCTGGGAAGGCTCCGGGGGTGTCTGCACCCCAGGCCGCATTGGGGTCTCCCCTCCAGCTGCCTGTGCCTTCCAGGTGAAGCAGATCATGGAGGAGGCCGTCACACGGAAGTTTGTCCATGAAGACAGCAGCCACATCATCTCCTTCTGTGGTGAGTCTGTGGCCCGTGGCCTTACACTGTGGCTTCTTCCTCTATGGGCTGCCTTGGGGAGGGCGTGTTTGAGCAAGGTTCTCACAGCATTATTTTGCCGTGTAACTTGGAAGGTGTCTTTGGATCCCTTCATTAGGGAATTGGGAAATACAGAAAAGTCTAGAGAGGAAATTAAGCATGACCTCTGCGCCCATGAAGAGGTAATCATGGTTAACACTGGAGGCCTGGCTTCCTCTGCTGTGGGCTCAGTTCACACGACCCTGTCCCATGCAGCAGGGGTCCTGCATCTGAGGGATGGACTCCATGTTCTTTCCTCACTCTGCCTACGGCTGGTGCCAAGTGAAAGGAGAGGATGGATGGGGACTTTTTTAAAACAGAATTAAGAGCCGTGGACACATCCTGAGGTCCTGAGGGATCCTGCCTAGCTGGCTCAGCAAAGAGGCAGGCCCAGGGCTCAGAGCGTGACTCACCGCTCTCCTTGAACCAGCTCCGCTCACAAGGTTCCAGAAATAACCGCACTGCCAGTTCTTACTGTACATTCCAAGTGGCTAGAGAGACACGTGTTCTGCGTGTCCCTGAAGCAAGGATTCAGCTCATCATCAGTGTGTACATACAAGCAGACATGTTTCTTTTTTTTTCTCCTCAAAAGCTATTTATTCCACGATTGGAATGTCCCGTAATGAAGGACATGCAGTAATTTCCCCCTCCTGGTCTTAGCCCCAGGAAGCTTCTGTTCAGGTGACTGAGGACACCACCAGGGTTCTGTTATAAGGTTATCATGTCAGCTGTTCCTGGAGCCTCAAGAGTGATAATGATGATAATGCAGTTCCTTAACAGAGATGATGCTCAACAGTCCTGTGGTCCAGTCTCCCCTCCCCCTTTAACAGGAGGACTAGGTAACCATCAGAAAGCACTCATCAGGTCCCCGGCTCTGTGCTAAGTGCTTTTCATGCATTTCCCCCCTCATTCTAACAGCAACCTTACAAGGTTAATGTTCATACTGTCCCCATTTTACAGATGAGGAAATAGACTCAGGAAGGGGAAATCATTGTCTAAGTCACACAGCTGTGGAAGGGCCAGGAAAGGATGTGAGATGGGCGGTCTGACCTTGGGCTGTGAGTGTGGGTTAACCACTAAGTTCTCTTTCTCCCTTTTGAGGGGGTTGAAGGTGGGGAGGCATACGTGCTTTTCCCTGTGATGTTGTCACATATCTGCGATTCTAGGGGTCCCCCGCTTTCCCAGATGCCTGTGTGACTGAGCTGGGTGCTGGGGAGCATGCACAGGGCAGGGCCTGCTGACCATTGTCTCTGCAGCGGCTGTGGAGGCCTGCGTCTTGCACGGGCTGCGGCGGCGGGCGGCTGGCTTCCTGCGCAGCAACAAGATCGCGGCTCTCTTCATGAAGGTGGGCAAGAGCTTCCCACCAGCTGACGAGCTGAGCCGCAAGGTCCAGGACCTGGAGCAGCTGATAGAGAACGCGTGAGTGCAGAGCATGGTGTACAGGCCGGGGTAGTCCCCCAGACAGTCAGACCATGCTCCTCGCTGGGCTCTGTGAGAGCCCCGGCCTCCTAGCACTCTCTCCGCTCTCCTTCTGCTCCTCTGACCTGTCAGGCTCTTTTCCACCTCAGGGCCTTTGCTTATGCTGTGTCCCCCGCCTGGTTCTCATCCCTCATCTTCCATGGCTGGTTCCTTGTCATAGTCAGGCCTTCCTGAGGGTAAATTCCAACCCTCATCCCCTTTCTCTTTCATCTCGTTGGTTTTCTTCCCAATTGTTGTCACCATCTGTAATTATTCATTCATTTGTTTGTTTACTATTTACTTGCTTATTGTCTGTCTCCCCTTTCTGCCTGAACTCCATGAAGACAGGCGACTACATCCTACATCTGTGTTATTCCCCATTATGTCCCCAGCGTTTGGGAGAGCCTGGCACCTGGTCAATGCCCAAGGAACAGGTGTTGAGTAAGTGCCTCCTGTGAGCTCAGTTCTCTTCTAAATGCAGTAAGACCGACGTTGAATAGAACCAGTGTGGTCTTGTTCACATGGGCCACAGTTTCTTGAGAGAATATCAGAATGAGATTCTAGCTTACCCATCAATAGTGTATGAAATTGTCTCTTTTTATCACCTCTTCACACTCACTTGGGTATTATTTTTTTTCCAACTTTTTACCCTTTTGCCAAGAGCAATATGGTTTTAGTTGCCATTTCTTTGTTTCTTAGATAGGTTTGCTGTTTTTCCATTTGCATATTGATCCTGTTGGATTTTCCTTTCTGGTGAATATCTTTTATCCTTCCTTACTGGTCTCAAAGGCGAAACCAGATCCAGGGCCTCCAGGAGAATGTGCGGAAGCTGCCGAAGCTACCCAACCTGTCCCCACTTGCCATCAAGCACCTGTGGATCCGCACGGCCTTGTTTGAGAAGGTTCTGGACAAAATTGTGCATTACCTTGTGGAAAACAGCAGGTGAGCTGGAAAGACCAAACACCTGGGTGCACTCTGCCTCCACCTGTTGGCATTCATGGAAATTGCACCCCTTGCGCAAAACCGCTTTCTTTTTTTCCCCCCTTGATGTGCACTTGATTTAAAGTTATCAAGTACAGATCGTCTGGACATTTGAATCTGATCTAGCCTAGCTTAGAACCTTAGGAAGATCCAGGTGTTTAGTAGCAATGCGGGGTATTCGCATTTGGAGTGGGTTATAGGATCTTGAGATTTTGGTGATCTTTCTTCTCCAGTGAGTTAAGCCCAGTCTACTCACCAACCATATGGCTGTAGAGAAATCACTTAGCTTCTCTGTGCCTCTGTTTTCTCTTTTGGTAAGTGGGATAGAGATTGGCGCCACTCCGAAGAAGAGATGAGAAGGGGAGTTAGTCATTTTGGAAATGAATAATGACTCTTTTTACATTTTCTCTCCTAGCTCAGAATTACCTGATGTAAAGGTTTTATAGTATGAGTCCTCTTGGCAAGCATTTATCCCTGTGTTCATATGTTTACCCAAATAAGTAGTGATCACCTTCTATGCACCAAGCACTAACCTAGATGTTGGGGATACATTGCTTTTACCTGTCATATTATGCCAAGAGCAGTGGCGAGCCCTGAAGAATCTATAGTTTGAGATTCCTCATGGCCAGTACTTCTTTCCAGCCAGAGAGAGAGAAATATCTAATAATCCCCCCATCTCTTGGGATATGAAAGTGCCTGTTGGACTTAACTACATCTTCACGCACAGTGGATATTAGATAATAAAAGAATATCTTTTATTTGCCTGTTTGCTGGGAAAATATGTATGAAAGTACAGAACAAGGTCCTTTCCCTCATGACACTGACATTGTAACAAGGGAAACAGATGAATAATAATTTAATAATGTGTGGTGAGTGTTCCTAGACAAGAGGGTGGTGGTTCATCTCCTTCCGGTGCTTATGGCAAGTGCCCTGGGAGGTATGACAGCTAAGCTTCCATTGGAGAGGTGTGTGGGCATTAACCAGGTGAAGGGGGTGGGGAGAGTGTTCCCCTGCGGAGAGAACAGCAGGTACAAAGGCCTTGAGGCAGGAGAGGAACTGAGTGAAATCCAGGCTCTGGAGCTGCAGTTAATCTCTTCACCTTCTTGTAAATTGTAACCTGTCTCTGTCCCTTGCCCTGTCCCCAGAGCCTCTGAGGTTACTGCCTGTGGTGTGCAACATTGTGTTTTATACTGAATGTATCAGTCAAAAGGAATGGATAATTATTTGAGCATCAATGCCAATCTGCTGTTGCTTCATTAAACTTTTTATTTTGAATTTTAGATTCACACAGAAGTTGCAACATTAGTACAGAGAGTTCTTGCCTCCCCCCAATTATAGCATTCTACACAACCAGAGTACAAGACTCAAAACAAGAAGTTGCCATTGGTACAACACTGTTAACTAAACTACAAGCTTTATTTGTGTCTCACCAGTTTTTACGTATACTCATGTTTTTGCTATATAGTTCTATGAAATGTTAAAACATGCTGTTTCATGTAAACATCACCACACTCATGATGAAGAACTGTCCAACAGAAACCCATCGCTTTAAAGCAGTGGTTCTCAACCTTTTTAATGCATAGACCTCTTCATACAGTTCCTCATGTTATGATGACCCCAACCAAAAATTATTTTCGTTGCTACTTCATAACGGTAATTTTGCTACTGTTATGAATCGTAATGTAAGTATCTGTGTTTTCCTATGGACTTAGGCTCTACAGCAGCATTTCGCCTAAGACCATTGGAAAACACAGATATTTGCATTGTGATTGTCCACATTAGTTATCTGGACAGGAAGACCTGTTCATACAGCCTTTTGCAACAGCCACAGCTGAAAAAGCATTTTATCGCCTCAATAATAGAGGGGTAGATATCATCTGTGCCTCCTAATGATGTCCTGTGTGAGATGGAAGATGTGGTAGAAGCAGACAAAACCAGCCAGACCTCAGCAGCCTTCCAATTATTCCCATTACCTCATTAAGGCTTTTATTTCAGCCGTGTACTCAGCAGTTACATGCTTAGCCCCAGAGAGGGTAAGTGACTTGCTGGAGTGACCGCGCTAAAATCAGTGCCTTACATCTGTTGCCTCTCTTGAAAGTCCTTCCAAAAACCCTCTGAGATACATTATCACCTTCCTATTCCAGATGGGGCAGCTGAGGCTCACAGAAATAACCTCATCACAAGAGGGAGTTCAAACCCATTCTGTCTGCTTTTAACCACCAGGCCATGGTGCTCCCTCTGCCGGTCACCTCCCAAACCTGCATGTTTTTTCCTCTCTCGCTAGCAAATACTATGAAAAGGAAGCACTCCTGATGGACCCTGTGGATGGCCCCATCCTTGCGTCTTTGTTAGGTAAGCAGTCCAGCTCTCTGAGCTTCATGTGAATCTCTAGTCTCCGCTCACAGAACCCCTCCTAAGGGCCTCTCTCACCTCCCTCCAACCTCCCCCATCAAAACTCACTTGTTTCCAGTCTGCTGCTCCCAGGGGCTTGTTTCTCGCCTTAGCAGGACTCTGGGGCACCCTAGCTGACCAGATGAGAGGGATAGTGCAATGGGTGGCCCACCTGGTGGTAGATGGGAGGGAAGACTTTAGGGGCCAAGGATTACCAGCCCCTCTGCTCTGCAGTGGGGCCCTGTGCCCTGGAGTACACCAAGATGAAGACGGCGGATCACTTCTGGACCGACCCCTCTGCCGACGAGCTCGTCCAGAGGCACCGCATCCACAGCTCGCACTTGCGACAGGACTCGCCCACCAAGCGCCCAGCCCTCTGCGTGAGTGGGGTGGGCAGTGAGACCCTGTGGGGGGATCAGACTGAGCTCCTGACTGGGCGTTGGGGCAGGGGATGGAGTGGGGCCTTGAAGGTCACTCCAGCCTCATCCTCTGCCTCCACTCTCACTGCCAGATTCAGAAGAGGCTTTCGAGTGGCAGCATGGATGACCGCCCATCCCTCTCCGCCCGTGACTACGTGGAGTCCCTGCACCAGAACTCCAGGGCCACCCTGCTGTATGGCAAGAACAACGTTCTCGTTCAGCCGGTGAGAGCTCATCGGGGACCCACGTCTTCCCCTGGGAGTCTGGCTCCGTCTTATAGAGAAGTTCCCTTTGGCTCTAGGTTGCTCAGTCATTCATCCATCCACCTACTCACCCATCTATTCATTCATCTGCGAGTATTTCCGCTATCCATCATTCATCCGTATGCTACTATTTCCTTCTTTCATGCATCCACATGCCAGTGTTTCCTTCTATCAAGTCCATCCATGCATCCATCCACATGTCAAGATCTCCAGCCAGCCAGCCTTTCACTCCTCTTGCAGTGCCTGTAGCCACCATCCCTCTGTTCCTGCACTTCTACCATTCCTTCATCCATCTTTCTGTATTTATATCCACTCACCATCCATCCACCTATTTGTCCATTTATTTTTTAGTCTATCTGTCCATCTACCTGTTCACCCAGCCATCTCTTCTTTCATTCTCTCATTACTACTCATTCAGCACACCTTTATACGGAACCTAAGTGTTAGATGCTTAGGATATCGAGATAAACATCTTCATAGTTAATATTTATTAAGCACCTTCTATGTGTCGGGTACTGTGCTAAGTGCTTTTAATTACACAACAACCATTTGAGGCAGGTGCTGTTATCATAGCTGATTACACTGAGGCCCATGAGGGCAAAGTAAGGGACAGAGTTATTATTATTTAAATTCAGATGGCTGGTGCCAGATATTGCCACTCACCAGTCACCCTCTGTGCCCTGCACTGGGCCAGGCCCCAGGAACAGCAATGAGTAAGGCATTTCAAGCCCTTATCCTCTTGTGAAGTCTCCTTTGCTGTCCCCTCCTCGGGGACATTAGAGCCAGTGTAGTGTTTGGGCTCAGCTGAGAGGAAGCAGAGGGGCAGCTGTTGGCTGCCCAGCTCTGTAGTCACAGTTACAATCACTGGGTGACCCTGAGCAAGTCACTCCTCAGTATCCACATCATGGTGGGTACAGCACCCTATTTCCTGACACCTAAGAAGCATCCATTTAAGATGCACCATTTTTTAACATAACTATGAGGAAATTAAAAGCGCTATTAAATTATATACAGTGTTTTCTCTCTACTTCAAACTTCTACTTGATATGTTTTGCAAGCTCTTTGAGATTTATTTGGATATAGTTTTAATAAATGCCAAGCCTCCATCCTAGAACTTTTCTCCATATGTGCACAAAACTTAACTGAAATAACAATATGAACATCTGTGACTGGAATTTACATGAGATCAGGCAGTGATAGCGGCATCCCAGTGGTAAGATGCTGCTGATTGTAAGATGCATCCTCGTATTCAGTCACATTGAAATGTGAGAGACAGGTGTGCATCTTATCATGGATGAAAGACTGCATCTGTGCTCCGTGGTGGAGCTGCAGGCTTGGATGGTTAAATTGGGACGTGTGACCCTGAGCCCTCCTGGATACATACCAGATGCTCAGTAAATGTTAGTTGTTGGTTTCCAAATGTTGTTGAGGTGAATTTGGTGGAGGAGCTCCCGCCTCTATGGATGAGGCTTAGAGACACCCCTCTCCAGTCCCTTCCCCACTTGGGGTACAGTAAAGCAGGTGAGAAGCTCTGCAGGCAGATTGGGAAGCCAGGGGCTCAGGCTGATGGGGGGGGAGGCTGCTGCGGGTATTTGGGGAGGGGCTTCTGGGTAATGTCTGGAGGATCAGACAGAAATTAGCTGTAATTTTTTTCTCCCTTAAGACTGGCTAAAATGATGGTAGATAAATGTCTTCTGCTTTGAAAAGGTGATGTTGTCAGGGACAGAGCTCCTTCTTGGTTCTAAAGAATTCCCAGGTCCACCCTTGCAGCAGGGCCCTGGACTCAGAACAGAGGTGTGGGTGTGAAAGTGCTAGGGGCAGGCAGCTCTCACAGCTGGGTCTACTAATATAATACCCATCCTGGGTGGTTGGCTGCAATAGCTTTGCTTAGAATGGCCACTTAGAAGGAGGTTCAGGGTCTTCCAAATAGCCATGACCTTGGAGGGAATGACCCAACCACTTGGTTCCGGTTATGTGTCCTTGAGTCAAATGGACCATGTTAACTGTTGACTCTGGCACTACAACCAAGCCTGAGTCCTTCTCTCTCTGCAGAGGGATGACATGGAGGCTGTCCCAGGGTACCTGTCGCTGCACCAGACTGCTGACCTCATGACCCTGAAGTGGACACCCAACCAGCTGATGAATGGGTCTGTGGGAGATCTGGACTATGAGAAGAGGTAGGGTGCCAGGTCCCTCCTCTTCCCTTGGCACAAGGAAGTTTGTGCCCCATCCCTTGTGCCCTGACTCTGCTCCATCTGGTTGTTACAGCCGCTTGGCGCAGCCTCCCTGTGGCACTGGCCTCATGGGTAACTCAAGAACTTGGGAGGATCCAGTAACCGACTGGAAGAATCTTAGGGTGTGGGAACTAGGCAGAGCCCTGGCCAAAACACCACCCAGAAATATCTTAACCAAGATTTCATAAGTTTGGCCAAATCAATTGGGTGTTCCCAGGCTAAAGTCTACCCTTCGAGTCTCCCGTCCCACAAAAATAGGCCAACATTGGCCCCATTGGTGCTCAGTCCTGACTGAGAGGGAGGGTGGCCTTGGCATAGCATGGCGGTGCATCCAGGGAGGTGGCCTCTCGTGCCTGCTCCCCTCAGCAAGGTCTTGGGTCTCGTGAAGGAGTGCATTCCTGTGGCCCCACCTCCCATTGTGTTGTGAGGGGGGAAATGGAAACCTGAACTAAATCACAGGGCCCATTAGCCAGTACCTTTTAAAATGTACCAGTGCCGTGGTGAGCCCTTCCAGTAGGCAATTCCATTCAATCCTCACAGCAGCACTGTGCAGTGGGCATTATCCTCGTTTTCAGAGGAGGAAATTGTGGCTCACAGAAGCCTCTACGTCACACTGCTGGGACCTACCTGTGAAGTCAAGGCTGTTGAATGGCTATTCTGACTCCTGCCGTGGACATAGGGTGGCCTGAAGTTAGGGTCAGCATTAGTCAAGACTCAGGTACCAGTGACAGAAAACTAAACTCAAGCTGACTTAAGCATTTGCTCACATGAACTGCAAAACCTGGGGCAGTGGCTTCAGGCATGGCTGGATCCAGGGATTCAAGTGAGGAAGACCTGAACATTTTCCATCTCTTGGCTCTGCTTCCCTGACTGTTGATTCTATTTTTCTTGCCATAGCCTCACATCTCCAGACTTCTAGCATCCTTACCGCTACTTTTCTATCATAAAGGAGCATCTGTTTCCCAGTAATTCTAAGTTTGATAATTGAATCTCATTGGCTCTGCTTGTGTCTTGGGGTCATCCCTGAACCAATCACTTTGGCCAAAACAGTAGAACATGCTGATTGATCAAGCCTCAGTCATGTGGCCATTCTGGACTTCTGGGGTGGGGGCAAGGGAGGAGGGAGTCCTTAGAAAATTGGGGCCAAAGAAGAGATAGTCTGATAGATACAGATCTTAGGGTCAGGTGGGTCCTGGTGAGAAGGGTGGAGGAACCCATGGGTGTGGTCTTCTGGCCGCCTGGGCCCTCCCCCACCATGATGTGGACCGACATCCTGCAGCTCTAACCTTCCCTCACCTTCCAGCGTCTTTTGGGACTATGCCATGACCATCCGCCTGGAGGAGATCGTCTACCTGCACTGCCACCAACAAGGTAGGGACTGCCTGCCTCCCTCGGCCCCCGCTTATTGCCCATGTAACCTCAGGCACGTGGCTTCACCTCTCTGAGCCTCAGTTTCCCCTGAGTGGGAATCATACCAGAACATAAGCATGGGGTTATCGTAAGGATCAAGTGGCATATGTTAAAGGCTCAGCAGCAAACCCATGATGTTAGTTGCTAATACTGAGTAAATATGATGTGCCAAGCATGGCTCTGAGTATTTCCATGCCTGTTACTTAAATCATCACAACAACCTAGTGGTAGGGGCTTCGTCACTGCCAGTTCACAGGTGAGGAAGCAGCATGGCACAAAGACATGCAGCTTGTAAGCTCCAGAGCCTGGACCTGAACCCAGGTCTTTGTCATTCCAAAGTCAGTGCTCAGCCGATCTGGGATTAATAACTAGTTCCCCTTTAAAGCTCAAAGAAGGTATAGTCATAATCAGAGAGTCATCTTGCTCTGGAAAGCAAGGGACCTGTGGCCAACCAAGGTGCAAAACATGTAAGCTTATTTAATGAGATAGAACTGGGTTCCAGTCCACACCCTGCCATTTACTAGCTGTGTGACCCTTGGCAAGTTATTATATATAACCTCTCAGAGCCTCGGTTTTATCACTTGTAGACTAGGCAGTGATAGATATTTTGAGTACTCAATAAGATGGTACCTTACCGTGTAGTAAGTGCTTAATCCATGCCACTGACAGTTACTACTGGGCCTGGGGGTACGTGTTGGCCGGGAGGGCCCGTCACCGTGCCTCTTGGTGACTTTCTGCTGGGTCTTCTCTGGTCGGTCGCATGGCAGTGGACAGCGGCGGGACGGTGGTGCTGGTCAGCCAGGATGGGATCCAGAGGCCACCCTTCCACTTCCCCAAGGGAGGGCATCTCCTGCAGTTCCTCTCCTGCCTGGAGAATGGGCTGCTCCCTCACGGGCAGCTGGACCCACCACTCTGGTCTCAGCGGGGGAAGGTGAGTGATCGTGGCTGGGGGTGGGTCAGCCAGGGTGAGTGGTCATTCTTGCCTAGCCCTTACGTGGCTTTTCGGGCTCATGCACACCCCATCAAGACCCTCAGGCCATGCAGTTGTGGGGCAGGTGTGTCCCAGGGACTGAGCACTGGGACATGTTCTTTCAGGGCAAAGTATTTCCCAAACTGCGCAAGCGAAGCCCTCAGGGTTCTGCTGAGTCCACAGCTTCAGACAAGGAAGATGACGAGGCCACGGACTATGTGTTCAGGATCATCTACCCCAGCCTGCAGTCCGAGTTCGGTAAGTTGTCCTGTTCCTGGGCCCAGCGACCCAGTCTTATGAACTGGGCAATTGGAAATAGAGGACAAGTTAGGTCTGGATTCTGGGGCTTACAGGGGAGCTGGAATCAGGAAGTTTATACTGTTGTGGCCTTGATTTGCCCCCATCTGAGAATAAATAACCACTTTTCTTAGCTGATAAAGATGCCATTGGCTGGGAGGTGGCATGGGATAGTAGCAGTGACATGGACCCTGGAATTCACATTAATGAATTCACTTTAAACGCCTGTGCCTCAGTTTCATCATCTGTAAAATGGGGATGTCTACAGCACATATTTCATAGGGCTTTTGGAGGATTAAATGAGATAAGCCATTTGACACAGAGAGAACACTCAAATGTTAGCGCTATTGTTATTATACTTCAGCATATTGTTGTAAGGATTTAATGAGATAATGAGATGATCATTGTAAAGCCCTTGGAATAAGGCTTTGCACATAGTAGGCACTCAATAAATGGTAGTCAAAGCAGCAGAAGGGAAGCAAAGTGCTTGGCCCTAGCACAGGAGATGATCTGCCTGCCGACTGCCGTGAGACAGACGCTTAGTGAATGGAGATTGTTGCTATTAAGATGATCATTGCCATGATCTAGGATTAAGTGAATTACTATTTGAAAAGTTCTTAGAAGGAGGCCTGGCATTTGTTAAGCACTGTATGGACGTCTGTTAAACAAATCAGTGTCAAGTTATACATCCTTTCTGTTATTTAACCCTCTGTGGCCCCACTGATCCAATCAGATGGATAATACCTTGAAGCCTCCCTTTGCTTAAGTGACCTTGGCTGTGCGGTGAGAGGCTCTTTTGAAAGCAGATGTCCTTCCCAGCAAGGCTGAACTAACCATGCCCGCCATTCAGTGCTCCGTCTCTCATCCATCGCTGAGTTGGATTGGGGTGTGAGGCAGGCTTGGCAGTAGGTCCTACAGGGTTTGGGTTAGTGTGTTTTCATCCATGTATTCCTCCACGCAGAGCCGCAGAGTGTCCTGAAGTGTTTAGCATGTGCTGTTAATGCACAAAGCCCCCCCAGAGAGCTGGTTCATTAGCCAAGATGCCCTGTGGCCACCTTCCCAGAACACGCTCTCCACAGGGGCTCACCCTTCAACGGCTCTTGCCAGAGCCAGGCTGGATTCCCCCTTATTTAGGGAATATCGATGTGAGCTTCTTGTGGCTGCATGTGCCATCAGGACAGACGCTAGGATTCAAGACACTAGGATGCAACAGTTCGTTGTGATGGGGACCGTCCTGCACACTGAAAGATGTTGAGCAACATCCCTGGTCTCCACCTACTACGTAGATGCCAAGTGCCAGATCCATCCCCTGCCCACCAAGTGTGGCAATCAGAATGTCTCCAGTCATTGCTAAGAAACTGGAGGCAAAATTGTCTCAGGCTGAGTACTGCTGGTTCAGAGAAATGCTCACATCTCTGCATTCAACTCTGCTGCTGTGTGTGCGGTGGTGGGGGTTGGGGTGCTGGGGGAAGGTTCAAGTCCCGAAGAATTGGTTCTTCTGGTCGGGTCAGTGTTCTGCCACCTCAGACTTTCCATTTCACCGGTGCTTTCTGTTTTGTGTCTCAAGTTGTTCCCGACCACTTGGGCAGCACATCCTCAGTCTCCGTGGGCCCTGCCTGGATGGTGGTTCCTGTGGGCCGGTCTGTGCTGGTGGTGGCCAGGGGCAGTCGGTTGGCCCAAACCAGATGGGGCGCTACCCTTCCCATACCAGGCTTGAAGCAGCAGCTCCCCAGTAATGTCTGGGTCTCCCCATTTCTGGGACTGGGTGCCAGCCACCTCTGCCATGTTGTCATTTGAGTCTTGGTCCTGGTGGAGATGGAGGTAAAAGGCAAATAAGGACCCTCATGCTGTCCAGTTGGTACCCTGCGTGATGCAGCTTGGAGTGTTGTAGGTTCAGGAGGGAAGGGATCCATTGGTGATGTCCACAGGGTGGGAAGGGCTGGGGGCAGAGGCATGCCTGCCACACCTGGGCACAACTGATCAGTGCTTCCCTGAGATTGGCTAAGAACTGGGACTGTTTTTTCTAGAACATTTTACAGGGGCTTGCTGGTGATTTTTGGCCAGCTTATTGGTGAGTCTGCTTGGGAAGGTTTAGTGTAACAAGATTCTTTTGGTGGCAGTTGATTATGAATCACCCATGTCCAGGAGTTAAGCGATAAGTCGTGCTTTCTTGGTTTTCAAATGTGGCTGCTATAGCAGAATTGTTTTTGAAATGTAGACTCAAGGGATGTATGACCAGGAGGTTTTAATTGGCTAGGTCAGGAGTGGGTTATTACTTTTTAATAAGCCCCCTATCTCCATGTGATTCTGGGGGTGGCCAGCCTGCTTGGGACCCATTGGAGCAGCTGGATCAGGACCACGGACAGCACAGGTGCCCTCTTCCTTGTCAGTGGGAGGCTGCACTGGGTTCTCTCCCTTGTGTGCCCTGCCTCACCAGATGAGTCAGGCTCCCTCTGTCTCACCACCAGAGACTCTCTCACCAGAGAATCTGTCTCTGAGTCCTGGAGACATCTACCTTCCCCAGAAGCCCCAGCAGGTCCCCTTCCTTCATTGCCAGCCTCCTGTGAGGACAGCTGGATGACAACATGGTGTGAGGCTTGGCCTTCTACTCTGGGATTGGGCCTATTTTCTTGGCTCTGGTCTCTCTCTCTGGGTTCTCTTCCACACTCTACTATCATCGGCTCTGCCCATTTGCTGGGGGCCCCAAATTTTGATGGTGGCTTTCACTGGATCAGGCGGGCTCAAGAACTTGGGTCAGACGATTGTGGTCGCTGTTTCCTACTATGACATTAAGGGGCTTTTCCTATCCCTATGCTGGCCTAGAAGTGATCTGCTTGTTTTGGGGTGAGGCTTCTGTAACCCACATATGCTCAATCAGGGGTCTTCTTCTATCCCTTCTACTCCCCACAGTGCCCCAGGATCTGATGGATGTCTCCATGAGCAACCTGCCACCCCTGTGGCAACCCAGTACCCACAAATCCTCTTGCTCATCCTGTTCACAGAGTGGCTCAGGTGATGGTGGCTCAACCAATGGCTGCAAACATGAGAGGTATGAGGGCTTGAGCTGTGGATGGAGGGAATTGGAAGGATTTACCAAAGATTTAGAGTTACTTGCTTTGCACTGACTTCAGAGGCTCTGAAATCATCCAGATCTAAGTTAAATCCTGCCTTGTGAAGTCCTAGCAGTTGGATCTTCCTTACATGGAAAAAGAAGGTATGTTGCAGTAGCAAACAGCCCTAAAACCTCAGTAGCTATTACAGCGAAGGTTTATTTGTCATGCATGCTATGCGTCTATTATGGATCAGTTGGAGACTCTGCTTTCTGCACAGTCTCGCTGGTGGAGCCAACACCATCTTGAATATTGCCAATCACAGTGACGGATGGAAATGGGTTGGAGGGACTCAAAGCAGCATTTAAATGCTCCAGGTCAAATGAGACACCTGTCATTTACACTCACACCTCATTGGCCCACTCTCCAAGGAGCCAGGAAGTGAAGTCCCCCCATGCACTTCCAGGCAGATGCCAGAAATATTTTTAAACGGGACAGTAATGCTTGCTTTATATAGCTATTATAAGGACAAATCAAATAATGGTTTGAAGTGGCCAACATGTGGTACATGGTAATGCTCAATAAATTACACGCTATTTTATTGTATAAAGTTAAATCCCGAGATCAGCTCTTTCTTTGCACATAGAACTGTGGTCTCTTTGGAAGAATGACTCAGCCCATTCATCAGAATGGTCTTGTTTCCTACTTACCTGGCCTGGCCTGCAGGAGTGGAATCCTTTTTTCTCTTCTGGGCCTCTGTCCCAATGGGTGGTCAGTCTTCAGCTGTAGGAACATCAAGGGCAGGGATCTGGATTCAGATTTTTTAAGTCTTCTAAGCCGTGGAAACCAGAAACCTTATCACCTGAGTATATTTTCAGTCTTTCATCCCAGACCTGTTGAAACAGAATCTGCATTTAACAAGATCCCAGGACCATGTGTCAAACGAGACTAACAAGTTAATGTGCGTCAGAATCCCCTGCAGGAGGAAGTAAAACCTACTGGTGCCTAGACTGCTTCCTGGAGGTCTGACTGAGTAGGTCTATACAGGGCCCAGGAATCCACGTGGTGGAGAAATTCCAAGTGATCATGGGCTGGTGGTCCATGGACCACTGAAAAGTGCTGTTCTAATTTAGTACCCCCTCTCATAGTATCTGTTTACACACTTCTAGTGACAGGGACCTCACCACCTTGCAGGTAGCTAAGTACACTGTGGGACAGCTGTCAGTGAGATGTTCTTCTCATGTAATCTGAGCAAGCCTGAGTCTTGCCAACATGAGGGCACAAAGAGGGTGACTTTAAAGTTTAATGCCTCCAGGTATACCTGGAGGACTTTGGCCTGCTTTCTACTCAGTGTCCCTGGGTTTTCCTGTGTCCCTTGGGATGATTTTCCTCTACTCTGTTTTTTGCAAGAAGGTATAACACCCTCTTCAGCAGCCCTTGTTTTCTCCAACAATGCTGGGCCTTATTCCTCTCTCCTCTTTCAGCCAAAAAAAAAGCCCCCCAGAATTCCCATGCAAGGAGAATCTATGCCACATCACCTCCTTTGCAATCAGCTAGACTCTTGAGTCCCAGTTTGGCTCACTTTGGTTCAGGTGGGTCACTTCAGAAGTCAGAATTCTTTTCTGAAAGTGTCAGAAACCCACTTCAAACTGGTTCAAGTAAAAAGGAAAATCTGCTGACAGAATTGGAAAGTCCACGGGTACAGTGGCTTCAGGTATGGCTGGATCTAGATGCTCAAAACGGGAATCTTTGTTTTTTTCTTTGGCTCTTGCTTCTTCTTGCCTCTATGATAGTTTCATGCTTCGGCAGGCCCTTCTATGCAGTAGCAAAAATGGATCTCAGCTGCCACTGCCCCATATCCCATTGGCTTTGGAATTTAATCAGGGAAAAGAGTGTCTGTTTTCCAGTTACCCCAACAAAAATCCCAGAGCTGATTCTCATAGGCCCAGGTTGGATTACATCACCATCTCTGGTCCAATTACTGTGATTCCAATGTGAGTCATGCACTGGACAGAATTGGCTCTACCCAAACCATGAGGACAGAGTTATGGAGTGACTAGCAGATAGCAGAAGGGGCATTGATGCTGTATGAGCAGAAATAATACCCCTTGACAGGCTGGCTTTAATTTGCTCCTAGAAATACCGAGTCGTCTCCTCTCCAGGAAACCTGGGCTGTGTGTGGGTCTGCCCTAAGTGTCTCCCTTTCCTCCACCGGCAGGGCTCCCTTGAAGCTTCTCTGTGACAACATGAAGTACCAGATCCTCTCCAGAGCCTTCTATGGATGTGCGTATTGACCTTATTTGCCATCATGATCTCCAGAGAACATTCATTGAGTGCCTGCTACATGCCATCAATATCAGGGGAAGGAGCCTGGCTCTGGAGCTTGAACCCATGCTCCTCTGTTTCCTAGCTGCCTGGTTTTAGTGAAGCGATACTTTTCTGAGCCTCCATTTCTTCATCACTAAATTGGAGATAAATATGCCTTTATCCTAAGAGAGGGCAGTGAACAATGGGTTTCTTGGTGGCAGGGGCTTGGTTTATCCGCCACTGCATTCCCAGTGCCCACCTTAGAGTGTTTGTTTTCAAGACTGAATGAGAAGCGTGTATAAGGCCCCTGCAGCTAGTGTTGCACAGCCATAGGTGCTCATAACTGTGTGTTCCCTTTTCCTGTGGGCAGAAGCGAAAGGTGGCCTGATCCCTTCCCAATAACTTAAAAAGGAAACTCATAATATAAGAACTCTGATGGTTTCATTTTAACAGATGAGAAAACTAAGGTACAGAAAGCCTTGCCCAAAGTCACACAGCTAATAAGCAACAAACTCAAACCCAGGCTTGCCTGACGCGAAGGCTCTGTTACACACACACACACACACACACACACACACACACACACACTGCTATATCAGTTCTTAGCAGGGTTTAGTGCCCCAGTCTCTCAGCCTAAGTGTGTGTATTTCAGGATTCTAGAAAAATGCTAACACATGCTGCATGGGCCTGAGAAATAGCAGCGCAGGTCCTATCCCTGAGTGCCTGGAGAGGCTGGGAGAGTGTGAGCTCTCCAAGATCAAGGCTTTTGCTTATTCTGTGCTGACCCATCTCCAGTGCCTAATGCAGGGCCTGGCATGGAGCAGGCATTGGGTGAGTATTTATGGAACCCAAATGGAAAATCTTTCTGAAGGAAGGGGAGAGGGTTTAAAGGGATCTTGAATGATGTCATCACATGATGTGGCTCATCCCTGGTGGCAGCTGAGAGCCCAGGTTCTGGAACTAGGCAGTTTGGGTTCAAATCCCAACTCCACACTTCCTACCCTGTTTCCCCGAAAATAAGACAGTGTCTTATATTATTTTTTTTCTCCCAAAGTTGCTCTAGGTCTTATTTTCAGGGGATGTCTTATCTTTCCATGCTCTAGGTCTTATTTTCGGAGGATGTTTTATTTTTGGGGAAACACGGTAGCTATGAAATCTGAGCAGGTGATGAAACCAGTCTGTGCTTCCGTTTCTCCATCTATAAGATGGGGATAAGAGTACCTGCTGTGGCGAGAATTAAATGAGGGAAGTTATGTAAACTCAGGTGGCAGCTCGATGGCACATAGTATGTGCTGTGTAAGTGTTAGCCATTATATCATCATCATCACTGTGATAGAGGCAAATCCTCGGGCTCAGGAAGGTTCAGGGTCCTCTTTGGGAGTTAAGGATGAGATGGTGGGGGAGATCCAGAAGAAAGATATGCAGTCAAAACCAGCAAAAGCCAGTATTTGCCGAGTGCCTCGTGATCTAGGCACTGTGCCCTCCAGGTGCCCAGGACGGATTGGGTGAAGGCTGGCAGGCATTCTGTTGAGAGTGCAGGGCCATATTTGAAAGCAAACCAGTGCCCTCAGCATCCTCTTGCTTATGGCTCACTAGGACCTTATTTATCCAGCTCCACTTTTTCTCCCACTCCCTTTCCCTCTGTGTGTGGGTTGGAGGCACCCAGAGGCACAGGGAGCCCACCCCTACTCTGCTTCCAGCCTGTGAGTTAAATACCTTGCATTCTAGTGGAGGTGGCGTCACCCTGACCAAGGTTGAGAAAGGTGATAGGACCTCCCCACGGTCACGGAGCAATTAAGCAGTCTAGACCCCTCTCTGACTTCCCCACTCTGAGCCTAAGCTCCTTACCTGGAAAAGGGGGTGATGAGAACTCGTTGGGTTGTGAGGGTTCGGGAAGACTATGGGCAGCATTTTGGAAACTCTGAGACAAGGCATGGAGATTTGGATGGTGGGTGATGATCCTGTCTCTACCTCCCCCCACAGGGCTTGCCTACTGCAGACACCTGTCCACCGTGAGGACCCACCTGTCAGCCCTGGTCAATCACAGGATTGTGTCTCCAGACTTGCCCTGTGATGCTAGACACGGGTTGACGGCTGGGATCTGGGAGCAGTACCTGCAGGACAGCACAGTAAGGCTTGGCCTGGCTCGGCCTGTGGTGGGACTGCAGCGGGTGGGGAGCATCTTGCAATCTAAGGAATAGACCTATCTGCTTGTGGGGACTCAGGATGTTGTGATATCTTTGGGTTCTGCATACCCAAACTCAAGCATACTAAGACCCATAGTCTGCTTCTGCCTATTGGGGTGAGGATCAAGGAGGTTGGAAAATACACATGCTCTCCTGGAAGGAGTAAGAACCCATCAGTGGCTAAGCATTTATTAAGCACCAGCTGTATGCTCAATCCTGCATGAAGTGCTATGAGTCCCCAGTGAGCAGGAATTCATAATGTGGTTGAATCTATTTCGAATGATGAGAGGTGCTAATTTAGAGGGAGACGCTAGTCATCCTAGTGTGCCCCCAAATCATTAGTGTGTGCAGAACCAGCTACTAATGTTCACTGTGGATTAATTTGCTTTAAAACAGTTTTCTTAGAGTTTAGTTGAGATGAAAAACTCAAAGATAATATTCCCAAGTAAGCACAATGTACGAAATTGATAGAAAACTAAGTAGAAATATAAGTTCATTATACCCTGGCTTTTCCTTTTTTTTTTTTTTTTTTTTAATAAAAATGGGTTCACACTAGACATGATCTGCATCCTGTTTTTTTCCACTAACAGTACACATTGAGCATCATTTTGTGTAGGTTCTCATAGATGCACCTTTCAGCTTTCTGTGTGGTGTTCCCCTGTCGGGGTGTACTGTTCTCCCATTGGTGGGCAATTGAGGGGTTCCCAGGGCTTTGCTCTTTTATGTCACATTGTAGTGGGTATTGGGTCCATATGGCTTCGTTCATTCATGCCAGGTTTCCTAAGGGCTCGGTCTGAAAAGAAGAACTGGATCACGGAGTCGGCCCCTGGCTTTCCGTTGACCACACAAACCCTTTGCTGCCCCCTGTCTCCCCACCACAGAGTTACGAGGAGCAGGAGCTGCTGCGCCTCATCTACTATGGGGGCATCCAGCCCGAGATCCGCAAGGCCGTGTGGCCCTTCCTGCTGGGCCACTACCAGTTCGGGATGACAGAGACGGAGAGGAAGGAGGTTGGTTACCCTGACGGGCACCGGGGTCTTCGGCAGCTGATGGAGCCAGGAACTGGGAGGCTCGCGGAGCTCCGGTCCCTTTTGGACCGAGGGGGGGAAGGGAGCTGGGGGGAGCCAGGAAGCTCGAGGGCAGCGCTCTCCCATAGAAATACAGCACAAGCCACGGCTGTCATTTAAAAAAAAATAAACATTTATTTTGAGATAATTATAGATTCACACCCTTCTTTGTTACCTTCCCTCTCTCCTTCCTGGCACATAGTAGGTGCTCAGTGAATGTCGATTGACTGAATGTTAGACGGGTGCTTCCAGGGCTCAGGATCCCAGGTCAGAGCCGCCTGGTCTTCCCACTGGCGTTGGCTTTCCCCAGGGGACCCAGCACGTCCGGTGACGTTGCATCTGCCCTGCAGGTGGACGAGCAGATCCATGCCTGCTACGCGCAGACCATGTCCGAATGGCTGGGCTGTGAGGCAATCGTGCGGCAGAGGGAGCGGGAGTCCCACGCAGCCGCCCTGGCCAAGTGCTCCTCAGGGGCCAGCCTGGACGGCCACCTGCACCGGATGATGCACAGGGACTCCACCATCAGCAACGAGGTGACGGGCAGGTCACCTGAGGGAGGGAAGGGTGGGGTGCGGAAGCCAGGATCCTCTCCGTCAGGCTGTGGTAGGAAAGGTGAGGGCTGGGTGTCTGGCCCTAGTTTTTGGGTGGAAGGAGACTTTGCAGTTTGACAGACCTAAGTTTGAGCTCTAGCCCATTTTCTATCCCTGGAGGTTCAGGTAAGCACCCATACTTCTGGGCCTCAGTTTCCTCATCTGTCAAAGGGAAATAATCATTTAGAGGGGACATTTGTGTGCCGCTTAAATGAGTAGTGTATATAAAGCTTCTACCACAGTGCTAGACTTCTATTTATTCAACAAATGCTTTTTGAGTGCCTACCATGTGCCAGGTACTGTCAGGAATGTTCTGAGAGATCAGGAATACTTCAGTGACCAAGTCAGACATACCTTTCTCACAGAGTCTCCAGTTTAGTGGCCCAAAGCAGGAGCTGAAAAAAAAAAAAGTTAATTCTCTTCTCTTCACTAGTGATGTATCAGCTATCATGTTACTACACTAATCCTGCATAACAAGCAATCCTCAAAGGTCAATGGTTTCCAACAACACACGTTTCCTTTTTCTCATGAGTCTGTTTGTCAGCAAGGCTGTTCTGAACTCTGAAGGTCAACTCAAGTTTTGTTGACCTTCACAGAGCACTCTCACCTGCCTGGACTGACTCAGTTGTGCTCCACGTCTTATCCTCCAGCTGGTTACCTGGGTATGTTCTCACAGTGGACACAGATTATAAAGAGAGACATACACAAGCTCTTTTTCAGGCTCTGCCCTGGTGACTTTGCTAACATCCCATTGGCCAAAGCAGGTCACATGGCCAAGCCTAGCATCAGAGTAGGCAGGAAGTAGAAGTTATAGGGCAAAAAGCACAAATACAGAGAGGGAATAAAAAAAAAATCGGGTCATTCATACAATTACTCTGCGTCTAACTAAAATGTTAGCCAGAAGTCTCAAGTAGAGAGCAGTGAAAGATGGGGTTTCCAGCTTACAGGGGTGAGAGGGGGAGGCCCAGGGGCTGGTGGAGCGCCCTCTGAAGAGGCTCCTGGGAACAGATAGGGAGACCCAAGAGCCCTTTCATTACATAGATAGGAACCTGAGGCCTTGAGAGGGGACCTCCTGAAGTCAGGAATAGAAATGAAACTAGACTAGCCGAAACCGGTTTGGCTCAGTGGATAGAGCGTCGGCCTGCGGACTCAAGGGTCCCAGGTTCGATTCCGGTCAAAGGCATGTACCTTGGTTGTGGGCACATCCCCAGTAGGGGTTGTAAAAGAGGCAGCTGACCGATGATTCTCTCTCATTGATGTTTCTAATTCTCTATCCCTCTCTCTTCCTCTCTGTAAAAAATCAATAAAATATATATTTTTTTAAAAAAGAAATGAAACTAGACTAAATGAAACTAAACTCCTGCCCCAGCAACCCCTCCTGGGCTCAGTGCAGGGGCTCTGAGCCAGGATGCTGCAGCCTCACCCAGGCTCCCTCCTGCCTCTTTTTCTCTCAGTCCTCCCAGAGCTGCAGTTCTGGCCACCAGAACATCCGCCTGCAGAGTGACTCCAGCAGCAGCACACAGGTGACCTTCCCGAGGCCACGCCCCCTATCTGCCCATCACCCTCCTCCAACCTGGAGCAATAATGAACTTGGTTGCCCATCATCTCCGAGTCACTCAGGGTTTATTTGTTTTAGCTGTTATACTAGCATTAAAGATTGAGTTTTTTATTACCGTATGTAAGTAACATGAATCTATTTTCCCTGTAAAAGAGTTAAAATATTATAGAAAAAGCTAAATTTGGCTTTGACTTTCACCATACGAACAGTTGTAGATAATTTAAGTAAAATATTAGTTAACAACATGAGAAACAGGTTAAACTAAGCATGTTATATCCATGTAAATTCCTTAGTAATCCCTCCACAGGGTCAACTGCAATGCTTCCTTGTTTCTTTCTGGGTTATTCTATGCATTTTTATTCTTCACAAATGGGAGCATGTATTGCACCTTGTTCTGCCTCACTCCTTTTACTGGCTGTGTGGTATTCCATCACATGCATGTTCCATATTTGAACCAGTCCCCTGTTGATGAGCATTGAGGTTCCTGCTGGAAGCAGTGTCCATCCTAGTCCATCTGTCTTTGTGCACCTTGTCTTCAGGTGTTCGAGTCTGTGGACGAAGTGGAGCAGGTGGAGACAGAAGGCAAATTGGAGGAGAAGCAGCCGAAGATCCCCAATGGGAACCTGGTGAATGGCACCTGTTCCCCGGACTCCGGCCATCCTTCCTCCCACAACTTCTCCTCTGGCTTCTCGGAGCACTCGGAGCCCAGCCTGAGTACCGAGGACGGCGTCATGGACGCCCAGCGCAGTGCCTCCCTGGTGCTTCGACCCGGGGACAGCAGCGTGGACGAGGGGCAGAGCAGCGAGGCCACCACTTCCCGGGACGAGGCTCCGCGTGAGCAGCTGGCCGTGCAGGACAGCCTGGAGAGTGACCTCCTCGCCAATGAGAGCATGGACGAGTTCATGTCCATCCCAGGCAGCATGGACGTGGCTCTGCCTGAAAAGGAGGGCCCCCCGGTGGAGGGCTGGGGGGGCAGCGAGGTGAAGTGCAGCCGGGTGGACAGTGAGGACAACCTCTCAGAGGAGCCCGAGATGGAGAGTCTCTTCCCAGCCTTGGCCTCTCTGGCCGTGAGCACAGCTGCCAACGAGACGTCCCCTGTGTCATCCAGCGGTGTCACCTACTCCGTAAGTGTCTAGAATTCTCCACCCCGTTTCCTGCAGCTGCAGTAGGGGGGGAGTGTACCCCAAACCTCAGTTTCCACACAGCCCTCGTTCATTGCATTTCCCCATCCCAGAGAGTTCACTATGGAAGCCCATTTGGGGGAATGATGATAAAATACTTAAAGAACACAGCCCTAGGGGTCAAACAGTCCTGGGTTTAAGGTGACCAGTTAAGGCTCATCTTCCTGAGCCTATCTGTCTTCCTGGGTGGTTTCAAAATTACTGAGTCGGGTCCTCTGGGCGTACCACCCTGTGAGCAGTCTTGACGATGAGCATCTTGACTTACCCGCAGGTCCAGTATCTTTTAAATCTTTGAGTTTGGCTCTTTGGGGTCCTGCCTGAATGTGGAAAGTCTCACTAGTTTCCTTACCTTGAGGGTGAGGGGGGGATCACAACACCATGAAATCCAAGCCTAAATGTTCCCGTGTCAGCAGCTTCCCTCAAGCAAAAGCCAGCTTTGGTGTTCTGTTGCCGTTGTGGATTCATTTTGGCCTTGAAATGTTCTTTTTTTTTTTTTTTCCTTGCCATATTGAGCCATGTCATCCTGATTTTTGGGTCAAGGCATCAGGCCCAGCATATTTCCAGAATCGGACTTCTGTTCCGTTCTTCCACTTCTCATCCAGTCTCCGGCAGAGAGGGGCACACTTCCAGCTACCGTTAGAACTCTTTTAGTTTCTTCGTCTATAAAATGGGAGTGATACATCCATGCACCATAGGATTGTTTTGTGTTCTCCAAGAAAAAATTAAAAGAATATTGCTCATACAAAGGGAAAGGGGATTTCTGAGAACCAAAACCAAATCAAACCCTCCACTGGGCCAGACAGAGGATGTCCTTGCAGTGACTACAGGAGAGGGGAAGGGGAGGGGTGAGAACCTCTAAAATTCGCCTCTGAGAGGAGTTGGGGTGTAATTGCTTTCTCCCCCTCCTGTGGGCCGGCAGCCGGAGCTGCTGGACCTGTACACCGTGAACCTGCACCGCATTGAGAAGGACGTGCAGAGGTGCGACCGCAACTACTGGTACTTCACGCCCGCCAACCTGGAGAAGCTGCGCAACATCATGTGCAGGTGGCTGGGGGGCAGGGCTGCATCTGGAGGGGATCAGGTGGGATGGGGAGGGTAGAATGTGGGCTGCAGAGAGCCCAGCTAGAACTGCAGCCGGCACCATGCCCACCAGATCTTATTCCAGCCCCCACTGACAAGGTAACAGTCATAATAGTGTTAATAATAGAGGACATTCATTAAGCACGTACTGTATACTAGGCTCTATCCTGAGCCCCTTACCGACATCATCTCACTTAATCCTCACAACAAGCCTCTGAGATAAGTATCATCCCTCTTTGTAGGTGAGGAAATGGAGACTCCGGTACAGCATTGCTCAGAGGCCTCCAGCTGGGCAGTGGCTGAGTGGGAACTCACTCCCACATCTTTGGGGCTCTGGAATCTGCTTTATTTTATGAAGCCAAGATCTGGGGCTACTTAAAAATTACTTTTCATTAAAAATTACTTTTATTTCTAAAAGTACGGAAGTAACCCATGCTGATTAAAAACCTAAATCAACCAAGGAAATCAGTTCATAGATATAAAGAGAAACTTCTCCCATATCCAGTCATCAATACCACTCACCAGAAGAAGTAAGTTATAGTATAAAAATTTTTTTACCTACATGATTATACTACAAACTTTTCCTACAACTTCATTTTTGCACTCAGTAATACATCCTGGACTTCTTTCCCTGCTACTCTAACTTGGTTTGGCAAACTACTATGGCCCACAGGCCAGCTCTAGCTCATTACTTGTTTCTGTAAATAAAGCTTTATTAGAACCCAGCCATGCCCATTTTTTTTTTGCACAGTGCTGTGACTGTTCCTGCAGAGTTGAGCAGTTGAGAAGATGTGGCCTACAAAGCTGAAAATATTTGTTGTCTAGACCTCTCGGAAAACGTTTACTAATCCCTGCACTAGCACATTCTTATTAATAAGCACCACTGCTTAACTATTCTCTATTACTGTCCCCCAAGTAACCAAAATTTAGTCTAGGAAATACAAATATATTGTAACATAGTAATGTTACATTAAAATGAAAAGGCCTGGGGAGAAGGAAGGATAGACTGATTTTTGCTAGGTTATAGCATTGGGAAAAATCATGGAAGACACCATAGAGGTGGTGACAATCGAGATGGACTTGGACAAAATTAGGAAAAACTGAAGAAACCATTTGGCCTACAGGTTCGGAGCACATACCCTGAGCTGAGAGTGCCTGGGTTCAAATCCTGTCTCTGACCTTTATTTTGAGGCATATGACTCTGTGTCACTTATCTCTGCCTATCTCCATTTGTGAAATGGGATAATAATGGTTCCTTTTTTGTATTATTCTGAAAATTAAATGATGCAATATATGTATAGTAGGCTGAGTAAACAGTAAATAATCAGTAAATATTTACTACTTTTAAGTGGCAGATGGGAATTCAAGACAGAGGGAACTGCAGAAGCACAGGGGCATGTGCTTTGTTTGTACAAGTTAAATACTTCCCTGTGGCCAGACAGGAAGAAGTACTGGGAAGTGATGGGTGAGACTGTGAATATGGAAGGGAAGAGACTGTCAATGCCTTGCGCCCCCATTTACTAGTAAGGAGCTTGGATATTGTCTTGTTACACAGGGGAGGTCTATGAAGGTTTTGAGCATTCAGTGACCTCCTTGGGCCTGACTTTGGGAAGGTCATCCTGGTGCTGAGCATGTGATGTTTGAAGAGAGTGAGATTGGGAATGGGATGCAGGCAGGAGGTGGAGGGCGAGGTCCAGGTGAGGGGTGGGGAATTGGACCACAGAGGAAGCAAAGGAAGAATGGGTGGGAGAGGCAGGTTGTGATTGTCCAGATTGAGCCCCTGTCTCTCTCTTCTAGCTACATCTGGCAGCACATTGAGATCGGCTATGTCCAGGGCATGTGTGACCTCCTGGCTCCACTGCTGGTCATTCTGGATGACGGTGAGTGCGTATTCCAGCCCAAGGGCTGGGGGCGCAGTTTCCTTCCTATTGAGGGGGCGGGGCAGGGGTGAACTTCATTTTGTGTCAGGACAGGTGCTTAGAAGGCTGCCGTAGGAAAGCAAGCTTTTTCTTAATATATGTAGTGACTCTCAAAGCAGCTTTTCTCAACACTATTTTAGCATTTCTTTGTATAACGTCCCCAATATTGACCTTTGCTGTTTTAATACAGAATTTTCCAGACTTGAGAATTTCATGAACCCTGCCTTGAAGTAGAATGCACCAGCATTCCATTGTCTCATTTGTGGCCCAGCTTTGGGCCATCCCTTTGGGGCCTCCAGGTCCTTGGGCAGTGGTGGAGTTGATGGTTTCTCCTGTGCTCTTCCCCAGAGGCCCTCACCTTCAGCTGCTTTACGGAGCTTATGAAGAGAATGAACCAGAACTTCCCCCACGGAGGCGCCATGGACACACACTTTGCCAACATGAGGTCACTAATCCAGGTATGATTCAGTCCCATTCAATGATATAACTTATTCCAACTGAACCCAATAGACCTTAGGTCAACTTAATAGCCACACCTGGTTTAACTCAACTTAGTAACTCAGCCCAACTCAGAAATCCAGGTCTGCCCAGCCAGCATGGCTCAGTGATTGAGTGTTGACTTGTGAACCAGGAGGTCAGGGTTTGATTCCTGGTCAGGGCACTTGGCTTGATCTCCAATGTGGGGCTTATAGGGGGCAGCCGATCAATGATTCTCTCTCATCATTGATGTTTCTATCTCTCTTCCTCTCTGAAATCAATAAACATAATATATTTTTTAAAAAAACCTCAAGTCCACTTAACCTCTGAATTGAACTAAAAATTTTAATTCAGCTCAATCTTAAGTCAGCAACTCAAATCAATTCTATAAGATTCATTTTCACTGAGCATTTATTCAGTCCAGGCACTATCACCACACAATGACCAAGACATGGCCCCACTCCTAAAAGGATGTTTGATGGTATTGGTCTTTTTCCTCAAAGTAATTTTTGGGTATATTACACACACACACACACACACACACACACACACACACACCCCTTTATTGAGATATAATCCACATATCATAAAATGATACTGCATCTGGTTATTAAAGGCTGTCTAGTGTCTGGTATGGGGATGGACCATAATTTTTCCAGCTCTCCCCTCTGGTCTGGCCTTTTCCCAGGAGGCTGATCCCACCTTTCCTTCCTCTGACAGATCCTGGACTCAGAGCTCTTTGAGCTGATGCATCAGAATGGGGACTACACTCACTTCTACTTCTGCTACCGCTGGTTCCTGCTGGATTTCAAACGAGGTACAGACTTCAAACTGGGGCCTTGTTCCCAGACTCTTTGTAGCAGAACTTCAGGGAAGAGATACTACAGAGCAAACTCTTAATTGAAGAGAGCAGCACCTGTTTATTGAATTTCCATTATCAGTTCACCTACCTTATCTTGCAGTGACACCATGCAGTAGTATTGTTGCAGTCCCCATTGTACAGATGAGGAAACTGAGACTGAGAAAATTTGAATTCACAGCTGGGAGGAATAGAGCCAGGACTTGAGCTCCCCTCTTCCTAAGACCAGTTCCCTTCCATTCTATTATGCTGCTTATCAGAAACCAAGAACTCTGAAGCCTTTGGAGCATGTTTCACATGGGACTTAAATATTATGTAGAACACAATAGATTACTATTGCGCTAATTTGGGATGATACTAAGAATAACATCTAACACATACAAGTGTTCATTAAGTGCCAAGCACTGTGCTGAGCCATTTCTATATATTATCTTACTACTGTTTTACTACTGTGAGCATCCTCCCAGTTGAGATGAGGAGAGAGAATATCTAGCCCAACGTCTAGCCCTTGATGGAGCTAGAATTCAGACTGAGTTTATTGGACATAGAAAGCCTTGCTCTCTTTTCTTTTTCTTTTCAGATTACATTTATTGGGGTTACATAGTAACATTATGTAAGTTTTAGGTATGCAAAGCCTTGCACTTAACCATTGCCCTATTCTAACTCTTCACTAGAACCAGATACAACAGCCAGTTCTATAACATGTTTAGAAGAGAGGGGAGATATTACTGCCCCCCATGGGTGCTAAAAGAAATGGGAGGGTAAAGGAAGAGAGGGGGAGACTGCTCAAGGGGTAGAATAGGGATAGGTTAGTGTCAGCCAAACTGCACATTTCCTCCACTTGCAGAATGTCAGAGCTGGAAATTTACAACCCACTTTATTTGTTAGCCCATTCTACAGATGGGGAAAACTGAGGCTTTTGATGGTCAAATGGCAGAGTCCAGGTCTCCTAGCTCCTGGCTTGAGCTCTGTCTGCTGCACCAGGCCAGAAGCTCGGAGCACAGCTGGCCTGGAGTTTTCCCAGAGGGTGGGCAGCACCATGAGCCCGGGGGCTGACTCTCTCCCCATGTGTGTGTGTGCGTTGGTGTCTGTCTTGGCAGAACTTGTCTATGATGATGTCTTCTCTGTCTGGGAGACCATCTGGGCAGCCAAACACGTCTCGTCCACCCACTACGTCCTGTTCATCGCACTGGCTCTGGTGGAGGTCTACCGTGACATCATCTTGGAGAACAACATGGATTTCACAGACATCATCAAGTTCTTTAACGGTACCCACATGCCCGGGGTCTCATCTGAGGGGCACAGGCTTCCAGAGAGCCCCTCCCTGGGGCCTTAGGTGGGGCAGAGATTTACTGAGATTGACACAGGAGGGACTGGAGGGGGTTCTGCCCACTTCATGTGTCTCTTCCCAATGGGTGAGTCATCCTCTGGCAATGCTGAGGATATGTTTCCCCTGGGATCTGGCCGAAGAAGCATGGGTCAAATCCTGGCTCTACCACTAGCCAGCTGCGCCCATGGACAAGTCACTTCCCTTCTGTAAACATCTGCTTTCTCATCTGTGAAATGGGTAACAGTGTCTGCTTCAGAGGGCTGGTGTGTGTAGGGAAAGCAGGCTAGGCAGGCAGTTGACGTGAATAGGAACGGTACAGCCTTGGGAATCAGAACAGATGTGGATTCCGGTCCCAGCTCTGCCACTCAGGAGTCGGGTGACCTTAGGCAAATGGCTTTTTGTCCTTCCCCAAGGTCTCTGCTTCCAGATCCCTCTGGGGATGAGGTTAGATGACTATGGTGGGAAAGCCACAGAGACCCTTCCAGGTGCTAGCAGTGTGTCCTGAGGATGGACTCAGAATGAGGCTCACGAGCTGTCGCCTTCTGCTCTTTCAGAAATGGCCGAGCGACACAACACCAAGCAGATCCTGAAGCTGGCCCGGGACCTCGTGTACAAGGTGCAGACTCTGATTGAGAACAAGTGAGGGCCGCCTCCCCCAGGCAGCATCCGCCGAGCTGCCACCTGCCTGTCGTGCCCACTTTTCCTCCCGGCCACCTGGGGGCGCGGTCCCGGTGTCTGTCTGTGAGCATGGACTTCTGTGCACAGAGAAACTGGCCCGACTCTGGCCGCCGGGCCGGTGGGGTCGAGGGCTTGCCCCTTGAGTTCAGCCTTACGTTTTTCCTGTTTGACCAAAGATCGCCTGTGTGTGGATTTCTCCTCGCGGGAATTGTTGGTGGACGGAGGGAACATCTTTGTTCAAGGCCTCCAGACGTCGCCTCTCCTTCTCTCCCCATCCCTCCAGACTGTCGTGTCTGAGGAGATTGGGCATGGGATTGTTTTGGAAGTTGGTGTAGGAGTCTGTGGGGCGCCCTCTGTACTCTGATGTTCCAGAACAGCCTGGAAGACCGGCTGGCCACAGGGTTTCTGCACTGGGCACTGTTGCCATTTGGGCTGGGTCATCCTTTTTCGGGAGGGTGGGGAGTAGGGGTTGTTCTGCACATTGTAGGATGTTGAGCACATCCCTCGCCTCTACCCACCAGATGCCAGTAGTACCCTCCTCCCCATCCCATTGTGACAACCCAGAGCATCCCCAGATATTGCCAAATGTCCCCACTGGCTTAGAGGAGGGGCTACCAATGTAACTCCCAACCGGTTCTCTTTCTACCTAAGCCGCCTTGTCCTGAGGCCCCTCCCATTTATTTTTTTCTCCAAATATATATATATTTATTGATTCAGAGGCCCCTCCCATTTAGAAAAGGCACGTGGGAGGCCTCACGCTGTATCCTCTCATTTTCCCCCTCCACCTGACTCTGGGAGAGACTTCTTTTCAAGAAGGGACTCTTCCTGCAGGGCAGTGGGACCCCGGAAGTGTCTGCAGGTGGGAGACAGTCCGGGGATCTTATGGGTTCACCCGGAACCCTCTGTGATTCCCCCAGGAAAGACTGCCTGTCCTCGCACACAGTGGGCCTGGCGCTCCAGGAGCTTGGAATGTGTGTGTTGGTACAGCTTTTCCCCAAGTGCCCTTGCTCACTCAGGACGAAGAGAGAGGAAGACAGAGGGCAGCCAGGGCGATGCGTGTGTTTTCCACGGTGGCTCAGACCAGAAATGGTCCCCACCATGTCTTCTCTTAAAGGGTCGCCAGTTCACAGACAGATCCTGAGTTCGGTGGTTCAGCTGCCCACCTGTCCTCCGGGAAAGGGGTCCTGCCCACTGGGTTCTGATAGTGCCCCGGAATTGGGGGACCTAAAGTCGGGGAACTGCTCTTCCCAAGAATGGCAGGTCGGGTTTGGGAGATGGCAGGAGACACGTAAGCACATTGAAGCTCTTCCCTCAGTCACAGTATGAGTCCCCACCGTCCCCTAGTGGGGCTTCCTGGGCGGGACCGACAGGCCCAGAGGGCCCTCGCTCCCGAAGAGCGGACATCCTCTCCCCCTGGTTCCCCAGCTTCCTGGGATGGGAAAAACGTGCGAAAGGCCCCTCCGAGAAAAGTGTGTTCTGCCACGTAGCTGCTCATGGCAGGCGACATTTCCTCAGCACGGCCCAGGTCCTAGACCCTCTGGTTCTTATTTATTTTTTGACAGACTAGTCACACAGCACAGCACAAGATCTCCTCTCTGCCTTCTCTCGTGGTGTCCAGAGACACGTCGTGGTTGTGGCTTGGACTAGCTGCTCTCTGTTCAGCTCTCTGCTTATTCAGGTGTCTGTGTGCCGCGTCCTTGTGTCCCGGAGTTGAGCATATGCGAGTTGTTCTGTCTGCAGCGCGTGCCCTTTCTCAGTGTTACCAGCACATCTTGTAACTGTTTACTGAAGAGTCGTGTCTATATAGAGAGAAAACATATATAAACCGAGAGGTGTGTGAAGCTGGGTTGTTTCTGTCTCTGTGTTTGGGGGAATTTTTTTTTTTTTTTTTTGAAAGAAAGAAACGTTTGTTTCTGAAGACTCCGTCCTCCCGCCACAGTGGCTCACACTCCCAATGGACACAAAAGTTCAAGGCAGGTGAATCACCCTGCACCCTCGGATCTTAGCTGTTCCCGCCAGTGATGCCGCAGAACAAACCACCCCACGTCTAGTGGCCTAAAGCAGACATTTATTTAGCTTGTGACTCTGTGTCAGCAATATGGGCTGTGTTCAGCTGGGAGGTTCTTCTGGTCTCAGCTGGACTTAATGTGTTTGTGACCAGCTGGTAACCAGCTGGGCTGGCTGTTGGCCAGCCAGTGGGGCAGAGGGGGCCCTGTGTCTCCTGTCCTCCAGCTGGCTACCTTAGGCTTGTTTACATGGCCATGACGGCATTTTTAAGACAGTGAGCAGAAGCTTGCAAGGCCTCTGGAGACCAAGGCTCGAGATTGGCAGCAGGCCATTTCTACCATATTCTCTTGGTCAGTCACGTAGCTGAGCTCAGACTCAGAGAATGGGAAGTAGACTCCACTACCCCACCGGAGGCTTTGTTAAGTGACATTGAAAAGGGGTGTGGGCCTGACTGGCATGGCTCAGTATGAACCAGGAGGTCATGGCTCGACTCCTGGTCAGGGCACATGCCCAGGTTAAGGGCTCCATCCCCAGTTTGGGGCATGCAGGAGGCAGCTGATCAGTGCTTCTCTCATCGTGGATGCTTCTAGCTCTCCCTCTCCCTTCCTTTCTGAAATCAATAAAAATATTTTTTAGAAAGAAAGAAAGAAAGAAAGAAAGAAAGAAAGAAAGAAAGAAAGAAAGAAAGAAAGAAAGAGAGAGGGAGGGAGGGAGGGAGGGAGGGAGGGAGGGAGGGAGGGAGGGAGGGAGGGAGGGAGGGAGGGAGAAAAGGGGTGTGGATACAGGCAGGGAAATCATTGAGGCCACTTTGCAAACAGTGTACCATGTACCCCAAGTCCATGCACAAGAGTGATCCCCGGGTGGGAATGGTTTCTGGGTTATGACCCCAATTTCCCTGAGTTCCAATCATAACAGCCGGGTAAGGTAGGCAATATTTCACACACCTTCATTTTACAGAAAAATACAGAGAGGTACATTTTACAGAAAAATACAGTGAGGTCCAGAGAGGTGCATTTTACAGAAAAATACAGTGAGGTCCAGAGAGGTGCATTTTACAGAAAAATACAGTGAGGTCCAGAGAGGTGCATTTTACAGAAAAACACAGTGAGGCCCAGAGAGGTAAAGTGGCTTGCCTGAGGTCACAAGGAAGCGGTAGAGGTGGATTTTGAACCCGGGTACATGGTGATTTCATATAGCTATAAAATGGGCTCTTTTTGCTCCTGAGAACATTTTATTTGCTCACTTCTGGCATAAGGATGATTTTCTCAGTGTCGCTGGAGAAGCGGACGGTCCTCCCCTGTACTTTGGTCGTGCGGGGCCACCTGATGACAGGCAGGATGCTGACCAGGACTGCATTGAGGATGGCGGTCACGTAGCCCCAGCCCAGCTGGCACTGTCCACTGCGGTACACAGAGGAGGTTCCGCAGGCCTCCTTGGCAAATGGGGAGGCCAGGCCAATAGGGAAAGCCAGCAGGCCCATAACGGTGGTGGTGGCTGGAGATAGCAAGGAAGGAAGCCAGTGTGTCAGGGGCTCTGGGCTAACCTTCCCTCCTGGGACGCCCTCACTCATCCACCCTCCTGTCCACCCGTCCGTCTGTCCATTCATCCACCCATTCGTCCCTTCATTCACTTATTTATCAGCTTGTCTATCCTTAAAAATGTTTATTAAATTATAGCTGGCATTCAGTATAATACTAGTTTCAGTTGTACAACTGAAACAAATGGTGATTTGACATTTATATACCTTACGATGTGATCACCACAATAAGCCTAGTCACAGTCTGTCACCATGCAAAGTTAATACAATAATTCTTCTTTCCTTTTATCCACCCATCACTCAACTATCCTTGTACCCATTGGTCCATCTACTCTTCCACCCATTCAACCATATTCTCATTCACTCATTCTCTCCAGCCCTCTCTCTGCCTATCCATTCGCTCATCCAAACATCCAGCCACCTGCCCACTTAGCCATCTATCCATCCATCCATCCATCTCCATCTTCCATTCATATTGCAATCTACCCATTCATCCTTATCCATTCATCTACTAAGACATCCATTGTCCACTTACCAATTCATCCACCCACTTATCCACCCACTTATTCATTCTTTCACCAGTTCATTCACCAGAATTGTTAGAGGTGCTGTTGTGGGCACTGATGATGCTAAGGAAATGGGCTGGACACCTCCTTACGTTGGGCACTCCCAGAGCAGGAGAATCAGGTGAACCTTGCTAAAGACCAGAAAGAATCTACACTCACTCCTAGGGCTTATCTCTGAGATTTGACCCAGGAGGCCAGATTCTGCTTACATGTTTTTCCCTTTCACTCATCATCCATCCCACAACCTGTCTGGACTGCTTACTATGTGACGGTGGGTTTACCTGCAGCGGCCTGCACCCCCTGCATTTTGCCACTGCCCCTCCTTGGCCACAGCTCTTTGGGGGCCAGCACCCAGGACAAGAGGAGAATTGCATGGACGGCCACCAGGAGCCAGCCTCCAAGGAGAAGCGCAGCTGAGACCTGCCAGGAGGAGAGAGGAGGGAGGGTCTGACTGGGTGGGGACAGGAGGGTGTTCCCCTGCATATTGAAACAGCTACTGAGTCCTGGAGACCCCAAGAGGTCTGTGCTATTATCCCATTTTACACGTAAGCAAACTGAGGACCAAGGAGGTAGAGTCATTTGCCTCAGGGCACACAGCTAATTGGGTAGTAGATCCAGGATTAAGATCTAAATGTGCAACCACCACACCTGACTACCTGCTGTACGGCAGATCATCTTTGTAGTGACAGGTTTTGAAGGCTGTATAATTTTCCTTACGGGCACTGGACTGGGAGCCCTACCCACGGCCCCCATGGTTGAACTTGGTAATGTGCCTCATAACAGAGACTTCCAACACCTGGACTGTGGTTTTCCAGCCTAGCAGTGCGTAGAGGGTGGCCAGGTAGGTAGGTGTGTTGGGTTGCACACTGCACCACTCAGACGCACTGGGATCCTAGATTTGCATATTGATTTCAGTAATTCTCCGGCAGATGGCAGTATAGTGTCCTGAAGAAGGGGCCCATTGTCTTAATTGGTACAAAGGAGCTCTAAGGGCTGACAGCTGCTTTTAGAATCATCCTGGGTGTTTGCTAAAAAGCAAATAGCCAGACCCCACCCCACCCCTGCAGAGTCAGAGGCTCAGGTCAGGGCTGTGGTGGAGGAGCAGAACTTGGCTTTGTTTCGCTCCCCGGCCCTTGATAGTCCTCCTTCCCCCACCCCCAGGTCCCAGGGAAGGGATGAGCTGAGGACTCACCTTCCAAGCCAAGTCCGGAATGTCATCCAGGGACCTGAAGACCCCACAGCTCTGATTCCAGTGGTCACCCCAAGGCCAGGAGCAGTAGGAGAGGACGCCAAAGGAGAAGGTGGGCGTCTGGAACCAGGCAGGGGAGAGGAGGCTGAGGGCCGAGGTGCAGGTCAGGGAGAGTCCCAGAGCGACCCACACGCTGCCCACCATTGTGGCGAGTCAGTAACCTGGGGGTCAACGAGCAAGATCAGAGGTGGAGACAGTGGGGCAAGGAGAGAAACGGGGCCTTCAAAGGTGCCCCTACCCCCACCCCCAAACCAGGTCATCAGACTCCCCTCAGCCTCACGATGCAATAGGAGATGCCAACCCCTGGTGTGGAGAAGTGGTTCTCCCCAACAAGTCCTGGAAGTAGGGACCCCAAGTCTCCGAATAAATGTTAGTGCTTAGACTTTTGGATAATCCCACCGTGCGTTGCATGTTATCATCACTGCTTCATGCAAGGGCCCCTCAGATCCATTTGTTCGTTCATTCTTCCATTCATTCTCTCTGCCCATCAAGCCTTGCTCTGTCCAAAAGGACTGTTTCTATCTACCCAGTGGAGCCACCTTTCCTAAGTCACACAAACAGGCTGTGTTTCTAGCAACCACCTTGCCCATGAACCCCTGCCCATCAGTTACCGTTTTAATTACCTAGTGTGTATCTTTGTGTTCGGAGGTCTTTTTGCAAAATTGATATTGATCATTATGCAGGTATCTCTCGTTTAAGTAAATGGCATTATTTTAGAAAACCACATGGATACCCAGAGAGATTATGTCACTTGCCCAAGATCCCCTGGCAAATCGGGAGAACTGGAAATAGGCAGTACTCCTGCCCCTTCTTCCCCCAGCCAAATCCCTACCACTCCTCTTCCCCAAGTTTGTGTCCCCCTGTCTAGATCCGAGAGAGAGAGAGAGAGAGAGAGAGAGAGAGAGAGAGAGAGAGAGAGAAAGGTGAGACCCCCCCCCCTTCAACCACTAACCAGTAAGCACCCCATAGCATTCCCTCCACCCCTGAAGGGGTAAGCATGACACCCCTCCCTCACACCCTCCTCCAACACACACATCCACAAATACAGAGGGTTTATGACATAACCTTGTGCTTCCAGTACATAGAGAACCTGCTGCAGAGCTTTTCAAATGAGGAATGTGTATGCCACGGTGCCTCCGGTGGTCCTTGGGGGACATATTCCAGTGGCTCCTGGACCCAGCCTTCAGTGTCACTCAGTCATAAAATGCCGGGGTTGTTTAGTTCTTAGTTCTCCTTCTGTCCCTCTCTACATCTAAGACTAAGTCTCTGTGGAAGCTGATGGGTCTTGGCATTTATTTGTCATTCTCTCTCTCTCTCTCTCTCTCTCTCTCTCAAAGACGGAGCCCCGAGTAGGCAGCGGTGTCCATTGGGGACCTGGGGACACAGCTGGATTTTCCTTGTATTTGTAGTGGTGGCTTTGTTTTTGTTTTTGGCACAAAAGGAATCACTGTTTAGAATTAACATTTATTTAAATAAAAAGGTGAGTACATATAAAGTCTCCACAATAATAGAGGAGGCAGGAAGGTGGTATGTATGCCTGCGCCGTCCCTGATGGCCAGAACAGCCCAGAGGGTTGAGCCTACCCAAGGACACCCAAGGTCAAAAGCAGCTGAGCTGTCAGCCAAGCCAAGGGCGCCTACACAGACTTCCCAGAGCCCGTCCTCTTCAACCTTGCTTTCACTTTGGGACGCTAAGCCTGGCCAGCACTTTACACATGGCAGGAGCCTCGGGCTTGGATGCTAGCCAGTCCCTCCGCCATTTCCCGGCTGTGTGACTGGAGCAAGTGGCCCCATTTCTCTGGGCCTCAGTTTCCCCATCTGTGAGAGCGAATTAGGAATCCCAAGGGGCAGGTGGCATTGGGTCCCATACCCGAGCAGGCCGGCATTGTAGAACTCCCCTTCCCAGTGCTGTGACCTTGGGGATGTCCCCTCACCTCTCTGGAAAGCGGGGGTGGGGTTGTTGTGAAGGTCAGAAGGGATAAAATCACGTGGGTGTTGCTGCGGGGAGGAGAGAGAAGCCTGGTCAGGTAGGTAGGTAGGTAAGTAGGTGGAGGTTATGTGGCCTAGACTTTTTATTCCCAGGATTAAAATAACCTCGTGGCTGCTATCCAGCAAGTGAGAGCTGACCCTTTGAATGAGGGAAGATGGATTTGTTCTCCCTCCTCCACCAAAACCAGCCTCTCCATGGGGCTTGGCAGGATCCCAAGGGGTGTAATTCCAGCCAGGAAGCCGGGGAGCCCGGGCGGACCGAGGTCCGTGATTTTGCCTCTTTGGCCGTCCCAGTGGCTCTCCGGGCGTTTCTGACCTTGAAAGGAGTTTTGTTCTCCAGATAATGTGCTCAATGTCACCTGGGAAAATCACGCCGACTGTCCGGGTGCCCAGAAAGCTAAATGAGGCATTATAACCCCAAACCACATCCGGCCAGGCTCCCCCGAGCGGGACTCCAGCTAAGGGACGCTTGCAAGGGGCCGGCCCGTTGCTCCTCCCGCTCAGCCCCGACTGTCAGTGGCGGTCAGCCTTCCTGAGCTCCCACCAGCCCCGTTGATAACCACGTGGAGCCTCCTGTCTCAGTGAAGCCGCACGGCTGCTGGATGGGGAGCGCTGTTGTCTGGTTCCCGTTTTACAGATGACAAAGCAAAGGCTAATTTTACAGCTGCCAGAGCGGTGGACCAGCGACTTTCGCCCCGGGCATCGGGCACCCGACTCTGGGCCCTAAGCCCAAAGTGATATTAAAGAATTAGATTAAAGGTCAAACACCCCAGTGGTGTCCTGGGGCTGCCCGGGCAGTCGCCCCTCCCACTGCTGCAGCCACAGAGCCTGGACAGTCCAGGGGGAGCCCTAGTCGGCCAGCACGGGAGAGCTGGGACTTGGGAGTTCAGAGGTAGCTGCTAGAGCCTTATGTCCCCAAGCCAAGCCCCCTCTCTTATCCTGGCTTCCGTATCCCTCCCAGCTGAAGGGGCACATCATTTATTCACCTTACATGTGCCCAGCTCTGTGTGACCCTCACGGATACAGTGTGAACAGAACCTAAATCCCTGCCTTCAAGGAGCTCAGGCTTTGTGGACCAGACAGATAAACAGGATAGAACAAGTATGGCCCATCTGTCCTTCCACCCACCCACCCACTCCCCCTCCCCCCAATCCACCCAGGAACTGTTCTAGGTGCTGGGGATTTAGCAAAATTACTGCCCTCCCGGAGCCCACACGTTTGTTGGGAAGACAGTAAGGAAAGAAACAAGCCAACAAATAAGGTGCCAGGCGTTAATAAGTGCCAGAGGAAAATGAGCAGAGAAGGGGGGTGGTGAGTGCTGGGGCATGGGCATAGAAGCCTCAACTAAGGTGACCTTTGAGCAAGAGCTGAGGGGGGCAGCCGTGTAGGCGTGTGGGGGAGGAGTGTTCCAGGCAGAGGGAGGAGCAGTGCAAAGGCCCTGGGGTGAGCGGGGGTGCCTGGCGTGTTTGAGGAAGCAAAGGCCCAGGCGACTGGGAGGAAAGGAGAAGGGGTGAGTGGTGGGCCTTGTTGGCCAGGGAGATCTCTGAGTGAGCTGGGGAGATCTCTGCGTGAGTCTGCCAATGGTCGTGAGCCGAGGAGTCAGATGACCTGGGTTGTGTTTTAAGATGGCTCTTGCTGCTGGATGAAGAGCAGATGGAAGGGAGGTCAAGGGAGAGGCAGTCAGGAGGCAGCTCCAGACAGTCAGGTGAGGGACATTGCTGGATGGGGTGGAGCGACAGAGAAGGAGGGCGGGGCAAGGAGTGGATGGAGTCTAGATCTTTGTTGAAGGTCAAGGGTCAAGCCAGCCGGAATTGCTGACGGAGTGGACTTAGAGTGTGAGAGGCCTTGAGGCAGCAACGATGCCCACAGGGCTTTTGACCTTGGCACCTGGGACAGGGGAGCTGCCATTACTGAGATGGGGGAGGCAGGGTTGTCAGGAGACAGACAGGTATCTGAGTGTGATGACGCCTGCCTAAGGGAAGTTTGAGGCGTGCCTTTTACCAGCCCTTCGATGCCCAGAAGCGAAAGGCCGGCCCCACACCGAGAGACAGCGCAGGGCCATGCTTGGGGCAGGCACGCAGGCACGGAGCAGGGGCACCTAACCCCCCGCGGGCACATGATGTCCAGGCTGAAGATGGGCACGTCGGACCAGGGAGGACTTTAACCCTTTGTCTCCTCCCAGTGGCACAGCCAAGGAAGCTGGACTTCTGGTTCTGTTCCAGCCTCTGTTACAAGTTGGCTGTGTGAGCTGGGTCTCGTTATGCAATGTAGTGGCTCAGAGCCTCAGTTTCCCCATTGCAATGCAGGGAATCTTTAGGTGCTTCTCCCCCCTCCTCCCCAATTCATATGTTGAAATTCTAACCGCCAAGGTGATGGCATAGGAGGTGGGCCTCCTGTGGTGCCCTCCTGTGGGATTAGCACCTTATAAAAGAGACCTCAGAGAGCGCCCCGGCCCCTTCCTCCTCGTGAGGTTGTTAGGAACCAGGAAGCAGGCTCCGCCCAGGCACCAGGTCTGCCTACGTCTCACCTTGGACTCGCCTCCCAGCCTCCAGAACTGTGACAACTAGATTTGTGTTGTTTACAAGCCGCTCTGTCTGTGGTACTTGGTTAACAGCAGTTAACCAGCCTCCCAAGGGATGGCCAAGTCCCACACCAGCAACTTCACCTTTCAGATGTGAGGGATTTCTTTGAAAATAGGATTTAAAACGACGGATGCATTCCCCCGTGCAGGCTTGTGTACATACACACACACACACACACACACACACACACACACACGCACGCACCACATATCACACACACAATAGTGTATGTAATTTCCGGGGCTCACAGACCCCTGAACCCCGTTATGGCCCCTGGGCAATACTTCCCTCCTGACCTCAGAACACTCTTACTTCCAGACTCACCGCGCTTCAGGTCAAGCCCCTCTACTGTGGCCTCTTCTGCTTGAGCTCCGGTGTCAGACTTTGCCTGTGCCCTCCTAAGAAGTCTCCTTGCCTCTGAGGGAAACACGCAGGTCGGTGCACAAAGCCCAGGTGTGCGATAAGCTGTGTGTGTGTGTGTGTGTGTGTTTCTTGCCACTTCCTTCAGTCAGCAGCCTTTCACTCTAGGCTGTCTGGCGGGCTGGGCAAAGAGGGAAAAGCCACCCCCAAATCA